GGGACTCCTTTTGGATAATGATCCAATAAGCTATGATGAGGCAATGTCGGACATTGATTCATATAAATGGCAAGAAGCTATGCAATCTGAGATAGATTCTATGTATTCAAACAAAGTATGGACTTTGGTTGAACAACCACAGGGTATTGTACCTATAGGTTGTAAATGGGTTTACAAACGAAAACGTGGTGGAGATGGAGAAGTAAATACTTTTAAAGCAAGACTGGTTGCTAAAGGTTATACTCAAAAACAAGGAATTGATTATGAGGAAACTTTTTCACCAGTAGCAATGCTTAAATCTATTCGGATATTGCTAGCCATAACTGCGTATTATGACTATGAGATATGACAAATGGATGTGAAAACTGCTTTTCTTAATGGAAACATTAAGGAAGACATTTATATGAAACAGCCGCAGGGTTTCATATCCAGTGGGAGCGAACAAATGGTTTGTAAGCTTCAAAGGTCCATTTATGGACTTAAACAAGCTTCAAGGAGTTGGAACATTCGGTTTGATGAAACGATAAAAACATTTGATTTTCATCAGAATCCGGATGAACCATGTGTTTATAAGAAGGTTAGTGAGAATGCAGTTGCATTTGTTGTTCTATATGTTGATGATATCCTACTCATTGGGAATGATATAGGAATGTTACAATCAACACGGACATGGTTGTCTAAACAGTTCTCCATGAAAGATTTGGGAGAAGCATCCATTATCCTAGGGATAAAAATCTATAGAGATAGATTTAAAAGGATGATCGGACTATCCCAGTCTATGTACATAAATAAGGTACTAAAAAGGTTTAGTATGGAAGAATCCAAACGTGGATATATTCCAATGAGTCATGGGGTTTCACTTTCTAAAACGATGTCTCCAAAGACACTTGAAGAAATAGAACGGATGAGTCATATACCTTATGCATCAGCTATTGGTAGCATTATGTATGCAATGTTATGTACAAGACCTGATGTGGCTCATGCATTTAGTGTAACGAGCAGATATCAGTCTAATCCAGGTGAAGAACACTGGAAAGCCGTTAAGATGATTCTTAAGTACTTACGAAGGACTAAGGATATCTTTATGGTATATGGCAATGGAGAATTGAAACTAGAAGGCTTTACTGATTCTGGTTTTCAGTCCGATAAAGACGACTATAAATCCATGTCTGAATACTTATTCACTCTGAATGGAGCAGCAGTTAGTTGGAAAAGTTCCAAACAAGAAACGATTGCTGACTCTGCAACAGAGGCTGAATATATTGCTGCATCTGATGCTGCAAAGGAAGCTGTTTGGATAAGGAACTTCATCCAAGGGTTGGGTGTAGTACCATCTGTTGTTGATCCAATAACGATTTATTGTGATAACAATGGGGCTATTGCGCAAGCAAAGGAACCAAGATCTCATCAAAGATCCAAACACATTTTTATGCATCGGAAAGTCAAATGATTTTCTCCAAGCATATTTGGTGTCTAACAAGGATTCGAAAACAAGAATTAAATAACAAAGGGAGGCCAATTTATTTCTTTCGTTTTTAACTTCCCATTTGAGTTAGTGAAGTAGGTAACATATGTCTAAGATGATTTTCTCCAAGCATATTTGCTAATTTTTTATTAAAATCTAAAATTAATATGAAAAAGTAATTAAAAATTTCAATACCTTTTATAAAAATATATATATTATTATATATTTAGTATGACACTTTTTTATTTGTGCGACTTACCTGTGTTATATAATAATATTTTTTTGACTTGCAACATATAACTACATTAAACATAAATATATCAATTGAGAAATAATTTTATTTTTCTAATGAATTTTAATAAATATTATTATTTTTTATTATTATAAAGATAAATATGATATATTTATCTCATATATACAATATGGATGTCAAATCGAAGATCATCAAAAGATAATTAATTTGATATATTATATATGTAAAACCGATAAGAAATATAAAAGTTATTAACTTTTAAAATACATTTACAATTCAATAGCTAATTGAAGGAAACAAATCAAAAGTCAGGGATATATTAGGCTATGTTTTGTAAAACTAGCTGATAAGCTAACTTATAGCTTATATGTAATTTTTGAGCTTATAGCTTATAGCTTATGACTTATAGTTGAAAAGCTAATTTATATGATAAAATATGTTTGGTAAATTAGCTGATAAGCTAGCTAAAATAAAAATTCAACTAGCTTATTTGAAAAGCTACCTAAAGTAGCTTATGAAATAAACTCGAGCTTTCTAAAAAAGCTCGTCCTACCAAACGAGGCTTATTTTAAACAGGGAGCTTATAAACTAACCAAATAAGCTAAAAGCTAGCTTATTTGGCTTACCAAACATATCCTTAGTCACTTAGTGTCTCACTATGTAAAATTACAAAGAATTAAAGGGTTATATTAGTAAAAGTTATATTACTAAATAATATTTATGTTGTAAAATTCAAAATGTTGTAAAATTCAAAATGTTTTCTTCGTTTCTAGTTTGGCAAAACAAAACTCTAGTTTCCAAAGGCCAAAAAGACCAAAGTAGTACAGCCAACTTGCATAAAGAGCACAACACACAGATCCATTATTCAAAACATCATAAAACAGCAAACCAAAATCCAAAACCCAAAATTTACACTTCATAATCCAAAAATCAACGGCATATATCAACAAGACCGAGTCCCAAACAAACGTTTTATAACTGTGCCGTTCAAGATTCAATGCCTGCATCAGATCCAGTAGCATTTTGTGATTCCAAGAGCTTCATTTGGCGTTCTGCGTGTTCCCTCTCACACGCGGTGATTCCCATGATGATGTCGAGCATAGTGCCAGTCGTCCCAAAGAAAACAAGTGGGGCCAAAGACTTGCGTTTTATCCCGACAGGGATTGCAATTAATGCTCCAGCTACAGAGAAAACCCACGTGCCCAAAGCACTGAAAGATTGATAATGTCCCGATAAATTTAGAGGGCCAAGCAAAAAAATATATTATGTACCATAAGAAAATTTATCCATACAACAAAGTAACAAACTAAGCTGTGCATGACATTTATGCCTTTTAAGAAAGAAAGGCCTCTTTAGTTCTAAACTTCTAATGCCCCAAGTTTCATGCCAACGAGCTTTTTAATCACAACAACACAATTTGTAATGAGTAATTGAGAGAAAGAAATAGGGAGGAGGGACTATAGATTGAACTTGACTTGGTTGTTATGATGTGAAAAGTGAAGCTTTATTAGAGTTCGAAGTGTATCTTTGCTTTCATAAGTGTAAAAACATTTTACTATATATACTAACCTACAATGAACTAAAGTTGTTACAATGTGTAAAAATGTGTTTTACACTCCTGAAAGCCAAAATACACTTTTAACTCTAATAAAGTTCTATAATGCCATAAGGAAGTGTTACCTCTACCAAAGAAAAAAAAGAGGAAAAGAAAAAAGAAACTCTCTTCGTTTGGCCGAAAAAGTTTCTTACTTTAATATCCCCAATTGCCAAATTCTGGTTATGGTTCTACTTCATCTAATCAGATTGAAAAGCAATTGGTGCAGAAGCTTTTCTGTATCTGACTGCATTTTTTCACACAACTACATGACTTTAACAACTTAATCAACTTTCATTTCCATCTGCAGAAAGCACCAACACTCTAATTTCAACTAATTTCCATCGTCAAAACACTCCCTAAAAGTCTACGATAATTCGGTTAACCACCAAAAAACTAAGTTAATATCACTCAATAACACATATTAACTATGAATATCAATCAAAGCCGCTCTTTACATACATCTTCAATGAGGTTTTCTTAGATCAAACACATTTATTAAGCAAAAGTTCATTTTTTTTTTATCACTTCCAATTTTCATCTCCAAACGAAAATCACCACCCAGCTAGAGCTCGTTTACATCTCTACTCACACCTATTCGCACTAAAAGGACGAACACGGAACACTCAAGACACACAGCATATCCAGAATTTCATACAAACAATGAGGTTTTCTTGGATCAAACACATTTATAAGCAAAAGTTCATTTTTTTATCACTTCCAATTTTCATCTCCAAACGAAAATCACCACCCAACTAGAGCTCGTTTACATCTCTACTCACACCTATTCGCACTAAAAGGACGAACACAGAACACTCAAGACACACAGCATATCCCGAATTTCATACAAACAATGAGGTTTTCTTGGATCAAACACATTTATAAGCAAAAGTTCATTTTTTATCACTTCCAATTTTCATCTCCAAACGAAAATCACCACCCAGCTAGAGCTCGTTTGCATCTCTACTAACACCTATTCGCACTAAAAGGACGAACACGGAACACTCAAGACACACAGCATATCCAGAATTTCATACAAAAAATGAGGTTTTCTTGGATCAAACACATTTATAAGCACAAGTTCATTTTTTTATCACTTCCAATTTTCATCTCCAAACAAAAATCACCACCCAGCTAGAGCTCGTTTACATCTCTACTCACACCTATTCGCACTAAAAGGACGAACACGAAACACTCAAGACACACAGCAGATCCAGAATTTCATACAAACAGTTACACAAATCAATTAATTTATGCAAGTGAAGATCTTCAACCAGCTTAAAAAAAAAAAAANNNAAAAAAAAAAAAAAAAGACTTACTTTGAAACGGAGCATTCTTCGAGCTGTTTCACTTCCTCTTTACCAGCCATAGAAAAGATTCTGATTTCTTCACTTTCCTGCAATCAAACCTTAAACCTGTTCAACAACAAATGTAAAATCAAAATCAATGTAATAAACAGGACACAGCAACAAAATCCATAAGAAGGCCCAAGCTAAATTGGAAACCCACACACCAAAAGCTTGCAAATTGAACTTCCGTTTTCGATGTTTCTTCCCATTTTGGTAACTGGGAAAGCGTTGATGCGGCACCGAACGACGTCGTAGAATATGAGAAGCCCTTTTGCGAGGCTTCAGTTGGGCTTTAGTGGTTACTCTGTTTTTTGGCCCAATTGTATTTGGGCTTGTGGATAAAAGCTTCAATCTTTAAGCAGCCTTCCCTGATAATGTGACACACTGAGAAAGATAGAGAGATGAGGGGAGTTGGTGGGCCCTTACTGTGCATAAGCGATCTGCTAAGTGACGTCAGAGAAGAAAACGCCGGCGCCAGCCAGGACCACGCGCCACCGCGCGACGCCGCCGACTCTTCTAATCTGCCGGCGTCCGATCTCCCCAAGCTCTTCCAGGTAACCTGAGTTTCGGTTTTGAAGGGTATGTTGTTTTGGATTCAAATGTCGCAGTATATGATTTTAGATTCGTTGGTCTGAGGAGAAATTAAAAGCTTTAATATGTGTGATTAGCTGAATCAATATGCCAACATTGATTAGATTGGTGAGGAGAATTTGCAAATCGAAGCAATTAGGTTTGAAGATTGGGATTCTCGTATAATCTTAAATGGGCTAAAGATGTCTGAAAGGTGATCCCAAGCTGCAAGAACCATATTTTCATTAAAGTTTTCAAAATTCGAGTGGAAAAAAGAAAAAATCTTCTGCTGATATGCCAAGAATTCGAGATAATTTTCTAGGCGAATGAGGTTATAGTTTTGGGTCTTGGCTTGTGCTCATTGTTGTGTAGTATTCTAATTGATTTGGCTGGTTCTTTTTGTTACAAAATTAGGAAAACTTCGAAGAGTTGAAAGGGGCTCTCGAGGGTGCAGACCACTCTTGGACAGCTCTTACCCTCAAGGTAATGCCAGGATGATAATCTGTGTGGATTTCGACTTCTTTTTCTTTTCAGTTAAGCATTAACGTTCGTATAAAAATCGAATCTTTCGCTCGCGTCTTTGTGATCAAGCTTTCTTCAAACATTGTACTTCACATCTTAGACATATGTTACCTACTTCACTAACTCGAATGGGAAGTTAAAAACGAAAGAAATAAATTGGCCTCCCTTCGTTATTCAATTCATGTTTTCGAATCCTTGTTAGACACCAAATATGCTTGGAGAAAATGATTTGATTTGCTGATGCTTTTACTGTGTTCCAGCTTTGTTCTGCGCTTGAAACTGCGAATAAATTGGTCGATTCAGCAAATTCTCAAGTTGCCTCGTTGTCTGAAAAGGTTGAGGAGGTCGAACAAATCGTGCAGAGAAGAGATTCTGCCATAACAGCAACTAAAACCATCCAAGGTTGTCTAAAACAATAATTTAACGCACTCAAATACAGTTAATCATCTCATGATCACTTACTGACGATTAGATTCGTTACGAATGATGATATGCACTGTTCTTGTAGCTTATTCGGGTATTGTATGAGAAATGCAAGAATTTCTTATGAACTGATTCACATCTAATGTAATATTCGATTTGATTGAGGGTTACTTGGTAAAGTGTTTGGAGCTTGTCCTGATTGTTGGATCTTTTTTATGTCATCCTATCAAATATTCATATAATTGGTGATAGTTATTCTGTTTGTCTTGTGGGTCATTGGGCTCGAAAAGAGATTCATTTTTTATGTCATCCTATCAAATATAAAGTTGTATATACTATAGCTGGAAAAGAGTCAAACTTGGGCTCGAGCCTTAGTCGGATCTAATAGAGTAATAGTTCATGAAGTCACGCATAATCCCATATTTCTCGAGTCTAATGAGTCCAGCTGAATTGAGCTCGACTCGTTTACAAAGCTAGTTGACTCGTTTATCAAATGAGCTGAACTGTACTCCAATCATAACAAGTTGAGCTGAGTTAACAAACGGCTCGATTCGTTCTAACACTCTAAGTAATAAGTATACATGTGAATAAGCTATTTTTTTGTTATAACAAAAATCGATAAGTTATTATTATTCTTTCCAGTTGTATAATTCTGTAAAACATACAAGAAAAATATTTGGCAACTTATTATTATAGACTTATAGTTCACTCTTCATTTTTCAAAGGACATCAAGGAAGTTTCTTTTATGTTTCGTTTAATTTTATTTTGTAAGTTTCCGTGACATGAACAGTCAATATTCTGAAGATTTTTGCACCAAATGACCAGAGTCTGAATTCTTGGTCACGAAGCCAAATTCACTGGTCAAATGGTATACAGAAGCTTCTATTTCCTTATCTTGTGAATAGCTATTGACTGATTCTTGGGCTAGTGGAGCTATAGAGTTATAAACGAGCACAGTCGAGCTCGAGCCTATTAGCAAACGTGAATTCAACCCGATCTTGGCTCGTTAACGAGCCTTGTCGAACTTAATTATACTAAAAATGCATAATTATATAAAAAAACATATAATTATATGTCGAACGTTAATGGTTCGTTTCGTTTAATAGTTCATGAGTGGCCCATAAACTTTTTCTTTAGAAATAAGTAAGAATGTATTTCATAAAATAATTTAAATAATATTGATCAAATTTACGTTTTTTTTTCTTTTTTTTTTTTTTCTAAATATATGATATTCTTCAGTTTAACTCACCAGTGCAATATTTCTCCCTTGAAATAACATTATTTAAGTCACTTGGGAGATTTTACGGTCCCGTTACGTATTCATACCGTTGGAAATTGTAACCGTTAGATCAATTATCCACGACGGTTACATGATGATCTAACGGTTACAAATCCTGACAGAATGGTTCCGTAACAGGTGTTACACAATGTGTGTTCTGAATTACAACGGGAATCTATGAACTGACTGAAGTGTTCAGTTCGTACAAAAGAACTAAAACAGAAAATGAAATTACAACTCGAACGCGGAGAGATTTGAGCCGAGGCGATTGAAATCTATCCGCAAGACAAATACGCCCCGCGTAGTGCTGACGGGTCAGTGCGTAA